TATCTCACAACAATGTAACCATTTAAAACATCATCAATGTATATACAATTATACCAACATTGTCCAACTAGTCAAGAACACATAAACATTCCAAGAAAAACATTCAATTGTAACAAGAATATTAATCAAATAATCATATCACGCATAATATAGTGTTCACAAAATTTAATTAAATCAATCTCTGGAAAAGACCCCCAAGAAACCCCTACCTTGACACCAAAGATTTTGCTAGAAATGTAAAGTGTTTCCCAATTTTCCACCGCATTCACAAATTTAGTCTCCCACTCTCTTTCTTAACAATTCTACTTTTATCTACCTCTATTCCTCTCTAACTTTCTTTGTTCTTCCATGCACTACTATGCATGTCATTAAAACAATCAAAGGAAATGGTTCCTATTTATAGTAGCTAAAAGGCGGCAACTAGTTGATTTTAATTGGTGAAGGGATATGTGGCTTAACATATAAGGCTTTTGCTCCAAGTTTCACCAGCTCATGCTTACAAAAGGATTAGTCATCATATATAATGACAATTGTAAAGCAAAGTAAAATAGTAAATTGCAAACAATAAAACTTAGCCTAAATGACTTGTTCGAGCGCCACGTTTGGGCATTAATTGTTGTCGGGTTTCCTAGAATCCTCCTTCACGCAAAACAACGGTCTATGTCTCAACTACATGGCATATATTGGTCCTATGATCTCCCTTATCTTCAGTTGTCTTGTGTTGATTTTCTTTATTTGGCTAGTGCTATACTACTATGTGTTCAGGAATTTCTACGCTAGAATGCGGTAGGCAAGAACATAAGTTCATGGCATCTTTTGGTATTTTAGTTATTAGAAAGGAAAAAAAAATTGTTCATGCCATATTTTTGTATTTTGGTTAGAAATTAGGTGAAAACTATCCACAATGGAGGACAATAATTGTACATGCTTATCTCCCATTGTTTAGGCCCGCTTGTCTCGGCAAGTTCTAAGTTTGGATAGGGCTTGGGCAAAAGGTTTGAAACCTTGGGTCAGCCCCCGACACGACCCTTTTGAGCCTGTCTAGGCCCGACACAGACCGACTCAACCATAAATATAATAAATAACAAATAATAAATATGTTAACGGGTGAATTTGTACAACAATAAAACTTAGCCTAAATGACTTGTCCGAGCGCCACGTTTGGGCATTAATTGTTGTCGGGTTTCCTAGAATCCTCCTTCACGCAAAACAACGGTCTATGTCTCAACTACATGGCATATATTGGTCCTATGATCTCCCTTATCTTCAGTTGTCTTGTGTTGATTTTCTTTATTTGGCTAGTGCTATACTACTATGTGTTCAGGAATTTCTACGCTAGAATGCGGTAGGCAAGAACATAAGTTCATGGCATCTTTTGGTATTTTAGTTATTAGAAAGGAAAAAAAAATTGTTCATGCCATATTTTTGTATTTTGGTTAGAAATTAGGTGAAAACTATCCACAGTGGAGGACAATAATTGTACATGCTTATCTCCTGTTGTTTAGGCCCACTCATCTCGGCAAGTTCTAAGTTTGGATAGGGCTTGGGCAAAGGGTTTGAAACCTTGGGTCAGCCCCCGACACGACCCTTTTGAGCCTATCTAGGCCCGACACAGACCGACCCAACCATAAATATAATAAATAACAAATAATAAATATGTTAACGGGTGAATTTGTACATAACAGATTAAGACATAATCACACACATAACACAAGTGTTTGAGTGGTTCACCCATAATGGGCCTACATCCACTATAGTTTATAGCTTTGTATTTGTATTTGAATATGGAAATTACATTGTACATGAGAGAGAGATATGGGGTGAGAAGCTTAAGAGCTCTTGTAGAAGAGAAATAGGGGGCTTGGGAGAGCTCTTGGAGAAGTGACAGCTACTGGTCCCTTTGCTTGGAGGTGGTGAGCTCCCTTTTGTAGTCCAAGTTGTGGTAGAGAATGCATGGCTCTACTTGGTTTGGGGATTCTACATGGCCTCCCCCTTATTTGGGGCCTTAGGCATTGAGAAGGCATGGGAGGGGGCATGGCTAGCTAATCCTTGTTTGGTGGGATGTGAGGTATGACAAGCAAGAGTTATCCTTTAATTGGTGGGATTTGCTTAAGGGGGAGGTGAAGTCAACATGGTGTCAACAAAATATAATCACCAATTAAATACTATACTTGTCAAGGTTTATTCTCTCAAATTTAAAGCTCGAATTTCCTCAATCTCTCTAAATCCTCATTCCTTTGGTGGTGGTACTCTCATTTTTTTATTTTCTCAAATTTCAAGCACCAATTTTCTCAATCTCTCTATTTCCTCATCGTTGATGGTGGTGGCACTTTCATTACTTTGTAATAAAAAGTTATAAAGGACTCAGAAAAAAAGAAGTAAACAAAATGAGAAAAAAAAAGGCCCGAGTCGTCAAGCTCGTGTAGGTTGGGCTCAAGCCTTGAAATTTGAAATCTCAAATCGGCCTGGCTCGAAAATTCAAAAAAGCCCATTATGCTCGGCTCGAGCTTCAATATGTGCACTAATTAACCGATAGAAAGTTTTCCATTCTTACATAGTGCTGCTCATTCCTTTGTAATAAAAAGTTATAGAAGACTGAGAAGAAAAAAAAGTAAACAAAATGAAAAAAAGGCCGGGCCCATCTAGGCACATGGGTGGCCCAACCCGTCAAGCTTGTCTAGGCCCGACCCAATGGGCGGGCCATGGCCTTGAAATTTGAAACCTCATATCAGACTGGCCTGAAAATTAAAAAAATCCCATGAGCCTCGGTTCGAGTGTCATGTGTGGGCATGAATAGTTGTAGGGTTTCCCAGAATCCTCCTTTATGCAAAACAACAGTCTATGTCTCAACTGCATGGCATATATTGGTCATGCTCTCCACTATCACGAAGCAGCATAGTCTACAATATACCTTATCTTCGGCTGCCTTGTGTTTATTTTCTTTATTTGTCTAGTGCTATGCTGTTATATGTTCATGAATTTCTACGCTACTTGAAAGACACAAAACAATACACCACCCCCAGCCACCAACCATTTAGAAAAATAAAAAAAAGCCCGCGCGGCTTGAACCCAAAAATTTCTTGTTGGTCTGGCTCGGCCCGACCTATTCACAAACCTTAGTTTGAGTAAAGTGAATAAGAATTACAGCTGAGTTCGATCCGAACCCAAAAATTTTGGACCGACCAAGAATAATGACGAACCCTACACAATTGGATAAAACCTTAGACGAAGAAAAAAAAGTGCCACTCGCTCCATAAGCTACAAACAGAACTCATGACAAAACCAAACATTGTACACACACCCTACCTAAACCAAATCTAGTAAAGTCTATCAACCACAATATTTAACCTTGCAAGCCACTTTAATCTTTTGTCTCTTACAATAGAAATTTTTGTGGGCAATTTGTCATAAATAAATAAAGAGTTTTTCTATAAACCCCACACTTTTCTTTGTTGACTCCAATATTTAAATCATTAATCTCTTAAGTTTTATTATTGTGTAAAATGACAAAAAAGGTCATTCGACTTAATACTTAATCCTAGTACATCTATACACACGTCACCACTCTTCATATTAAGTTTTAGAAAAACACAAATTCCTCTACACCCTATTGCCAGATTACTCATCTCTTTCAATCCAAGAAACCTACTACACTCTCATATTCTCTTCAGAAAACCTAAATACAGTATGCAAATAGTGGCGTGTGGGACGTCAATTAAGGTATGTAATGTGAGAAGTCGCTAGAAGACCACCTGCTAATTTCCCCAAGCAAACTTCTTAAAGAAGGTAGAGACTATGAGTCTCTCTGTTTTACAATAAGTAATGATAAATTAGTTGTTAAATCACTAAGCTTCAAAGTAGAGTGGTAAGGTGCAAGATAGCGGCATGTGGGGTTGATGAGTTTTTTTGTTTTTTTGTTTTTGTTTTTTTTTCTATTGGGTGTATATTTAAGGGTAATTTGGAGAGATGTGAGATTTTTTTTTTTTTTTAAAATTGTAAAAATTTGAATTAGAAGTTGGGTATACTTTTTTTTTTTTGGAAACTTAGCGATAAATTGCATTCATTGATCAGGCACAGAGGCCGTTAGCCAAGAAGGCCAGTACAGAGACCGTAAAGACCAGTACAAGAGCCAAAAAGGCCATAGCAATGACAGAAACAGATACCCATTTAGGGTTGATACAAGAGTGGACAGTAGTCCAGAGGGGGAGGACACCGATAAACTCGGGAACTCCAGTCATGGCCATAGGAGGCCAGAGAGAGCTAGTGTGGACAGTAGTCCAGAGGGGGAGAACACCGGTAACTTCGGGAACTCCAATCATGGCCACAGAAAGCCAGAGAAAGAGCGGTAAAAAGACCGCGAGCCTGGAAAAATCCGGCATAGGACACTAAACGCCTAAAAAGCAAGTAAGAGACTGCAACAAGCAACACACTCAAAACGAGTAGAAGCACAAAAACACAACAAGAAAATTGCAAAGCCAAAGATCCGCACAGCAAGCTCAAGCAACTCCAGGTAGAGCAGAGATCCCCCAAAACGACCAGGCCGAAGGGCAGCCCCCCGGGGACGAGTAGATCAGAATAGATCTAGGTAGGAGCACCAAAAAATGAGCCACCACGGCGCAGACTGCCGATGGAACA